ATTTACAAAATGATTCATTTGGATATCCAATTTATTGTAGTTAATGCAAAGTAAGATATCATCTCCTTTTTGCCTACTGACGAGAGACAGGAAAAGGTAGAGCTTACCATAGAGTCTATAAAATGTATGTAATGTGGTCAACGTAAAGGTGAGCCTGAAGAGTTTTAAAAATTCTGTTTTCAGAAATAGTCAGCTGAAGTATCATCCTGCTGACGTAATAACTGGGACTGCTAACAGATGTGAACTTAAGGAAAGGATTAAGTAATTCTCTTGTAGATGTACAAGAAGACCAAGCCCTGTGTTCATGGCAGCTGCCTGTTAGTACTCACAGGGCTGTTCTGGGCTGATTTCTCTCTCCCTCCCCCATCCCCAGAGGATTATCCATAACCCAGCTCAGTTCACTGGTCCAGTTCATCTTGTAATTCCACAAACACTTTTACCCGCAGGACTGAGAGATGGGGGGGAGGTGCACAGTATTTAAGCTGATAATCATTTTAGGATATGGCTGTGGAAGTGTACTCTAAACACAGCTTGATCCTATTTTTTGTATTTATTTAGCGAAGCACCTGCATGAACTTAACAAGAATAATAGTAATTTTTTTAATTAAGTTTTGGTTTGGCGTTTTTGTCCCCCTGTAGTTGACTGATGTCTCTTTACTGCTTTACCCATCAGCCTTCCCAAAGGAAAGGAGGAAAAGTAAATACTTAAAATTTGAAGAGGGATGATTTTTTGTTTGTTTGATTCTCCCTCCTTCCTTATGTCAGACAAGAAACAAGTTTTTAGGACTTTGACAGTGTTTTGAAGTTGAGGTTCATCACGTAGGAACATAGTACCGCACATATGGAAACAAAGTGAGACTATCAGAAAGGTGTTGGTTCCAAATAACATGTCAGCTTTCAGATCTGTGTTTAGCTTGGGGAGAGCTCGGAATTGGCAGGCTCAGGAGCTGAGTCTGAACTTTTGCACTCAGAAGTAACTACACCCCTTCCTGTTCAACTGCCACTACCTCCTCTTGCCCACTAATGCTGCAGCATCCTATTTGTGGTCCTCTTGCTCAAGGAACATACTCCTGTTCACTAGGAGTGTTTTTCTGTTCCTTTCCATTTTGGCAGCAGCAGCTCTCACTGGTTTTCCAAGGATTGTCAAGCTGCTGCTGTAAAGGAAATGGAGAAGAGGCAGTAAGGCTGGTACTGTTGCTATCACAGGGAATGAGGAGGAAGTTGACTTTTGAAGCAAATCGACTCCTGAAGCCTCTGTCAGAGGACAGGGGTAGCATAAACCCCAGTGGCTGCAACAGCAGGACCACCTTTTTGTGGGATTGTGCGAACAGCAATTAAGCATGGATGCTCTGACAGCATTTCTCAAATGGCTTTCCCTGTGTTGTCTGAAAAGAGCCATGTGGAAGCTTTAACAGGCTGCTGGCTGGCTGGCCAGTGGGGCCACATGCTAGAGCAATTTAGATAACTTATTTTACGGTGTGGAAATAATTGCAAGTAAAGTTACAAATACAGTTGTGACATTACAGGCCTGTGAAATATTTTGTGTAGTATCCTGGATAACTCATCAACAGAAATCTGTTATTTCCAGAGAGACTTTCGCCTAGTTCTTTTTTTGCCATAACATTTCAAATGCGATTCTTTTATACAGCTGCCACTGGAGACATGCCAGCTTACCAGATTCGAACTCCCACTACTAGCTTACCTCAGGGGGTGGTAATGGCAGCCTCACCAGGGACCTTGCATAGCCCTCAGCAACTGGCGGAAGAGGCAACACGCAAGAGAGAGCTGAGACTTATGAAAAATAGGTAAGACTGTGTAACAATTAATAGTCAGTGTTGAGAAGGGGAGGGGGGGGGGGGGCAATGTGCAAACACCCCAAAACATTCTAATGGACTTTTCTTCTTAAGGTCATGAGCACAGCCTATGATTGACAAATGGAAGGCAAGAAATTTTTTTGTCAGTCATCCCACATCCTTGTAGCATTGAGTATTGGCTGTTAACTCTGGAAAGTTAGAGTTGATGTTAACACCATGGATTTTTAGTTCTAAAATATTATGGCAGTTCAGAAATCAATATTAGTGTTGTCCTTTTCTGTTATTTTTTGTCGTGATCTGGAGGCACGCTGACTGTTGAATTCTGCTCTCCCTGTGCCCTTAATGACGCTAAAATGACCAGTATGGATTTCTTCATTTTGAAACATCCCAGCAAAGAATTGGCTAGGAAAAAAATCTGAGGATCTCATTAGCAACTGTCCATTAATGATGCCGTGAAGAGGACTTATTCTAGGATGGAATGATAATTACAGACTTTCCTAAATGCTTAGCTACTGGGATAAGTTACTGTGCAGTGCCCATGTCATTTTCTGAGGCACATTGTGTGAGGTGGCTGTATATTTTTTAATTAGCTGGCATGGACTTGACTGTGTGCTGTAAATGCCAGTCTTTGTGCAATATTCTTGCTGTTCTTAGGGGACTTTCTCTTGTATTTTTTAAATGCGTAGCCAGCGTTTTCAATGGCAGTTAGATTGATGGAAGAAATAGTCTGCTACGCAGGTCTCAAATACACTGAATAGGTACTTGCCTTATGATTGAATTAATGGTATTGCTTTGCTCTCATGCCTGTCCTTTATTTTAAATTATTCAGGAGGATTGCTGCATTGTTGTGCCTTCTTTTGTTTCTCAAGTTTTAAAACTAGTGTGTATGCTATCTCTTGTATAACTTGCTGGGAAGTTACACTCGCACAATTTGGCAATTTATTGTGTTCCAAGATGTTAAAGATGTGGACGTCTAAAATTTCTTATGGCATTGAATGCTTGTTCAAAAAAAAGACAGCAGGTTATAAGCTTGGCATTTAGCTTTTTATCTGAAAAGAGTAGTGTTATGCTTGTATTTTCTGAAAGTAAATTCTTTGGGCTTGGTTTTAAGGTTTTGATTGCAGAAGATAATACTCCTGATAAACAGACAGAATGGAATGTGACTGGAAGAGGAAATGCTGCTTTCAGTCTTAATGTGTAGTACAGCTCAAGTCAATATGTTATCATTTGCTCACTATTTTTATCAGTTCCACTGTGTATTAATTCCATCTTCATATTGATGGTGAATTTGTTTGAAGTTCCAGTTGTTTTGAATTGTATTTTTACCACGTTATTGATTATGGCTGTTATGTTTGTGCAATCCAAAGTTGTTGTTGGTGGTGGTGGTTGTTGTTGTTGTTAATTTGAAACTGCAGGGATTGCAGGTATTTTTGTTTATCCGGTCTTTGCTGTATTGTGGCTGTTCCTGTAGTCATTTGCCTTGTATTGGTTCCAGGGAAGCTGCCAGAGAATGTCGCAGAAAGAAGAAAGAATATGTCAAATGTCTTGAAAATCGTGTGGCTGTGCTTGAAAACCAAAACAAGACTCTCATTGAGGAACTCAAGGCCCTCAAAGATCTTTATTGTCATAAGGCAGAATAACTGTCTTTCATTTGGACCTTGTTTGTTATGAACTTTAATCAAGGCATGAGAGGAAGCAATTCTACAGATTGCCTTATGAACTTGAGAAAGAGACACTTGAGGCTCTTGTGGAACCCCATTTTGCTTAGTGTTTTCAGACTGATTTGGGAGATACTCCAAAATTTGGATTTCTGTCATAGTCTCCATACTCTGCTGAGCTTTCTAATGGCATGCAAATGGTTTTTTTTGTTTGCACTTTTTACGTCTGCTTTTTGCAGGGAAGCTGCTAAAGAATGTCGACGTCGGAAGAAAGAATACATAAAATGTCTGGAGAGTCGTGTTGCAGTGCTAGAACGTCAGAACAAGAAACTTACAGAGGAGCTTGAAACCCTAAAACAAATTTGCTATTCCAAAACAAATAGTAAAAATATTTATTATACTGTGAACTGATTAAAATATGCTTTATAAGGCAATACATAGGCAACATGAATTATGGCTTTCACTTTGTGTCATTTATATTATACTTCTAACATTCCTGAAATGCTTTCCTGCTTTTTGTCAATTCATGGCTCTAATTTCAGGTTTTTCGTGCTCCTCCATTCCATCTCCCAACAAGCCAAATATTAAAAAAGTAACAAAGCAAAAGAGCGCATAATTTCTAAGAGCTGTTTCTTTGCCATCTATTTACATACTACTTTTCACATGTCACTGAGTGTCCTGCACTTATGTTTTAGAACTGTTTTAAATGAATTATAAAGATAATGTGACCAGTAATACACAAAAATCAAACAACCCAAGGTATCTCAGGAAAGACTTTATAAAAGAATGTTATGATTACTTGTATGTACTGGCATACTAGTCTACAGATGATTTTATGACGTATTTTTATATTAGTTGCTTTGTGGGAAAAAAGTATTGTAGCTGTCACCGAGTGCCATGGTCAAAAATAGTTTTTAATAGAACCATGTTGTTTAACCTGCGTAGTGTCTGATTTCCTTTAAACATCTGGTTATTTGTGATGGTGTGAACCGTGGAAGAGGACAAAGGAAAAAAGCATACCTAAATTGGTGACATGATGCTAAATTTGTTATAAATACCTGAAAGAAGCTGTCAGTTGTATGGCTGTTACTGACTTAAATTTTCTGTAGTCTGTAAAATATTTGATTTATTAGAGGTCTATGCATCAAATTCAATTTTGCATCCTGAATACTTCATGGTCCAGCTTCTGGGCAGTTGTAGACAGTTGCCTGTAGTGAAGGCTGATGGTCTAGTTCTTTTCACACTTTCTGCCAAGTACTGAGAGGAAGTAAAGGTGACTTAAAGAAGGAAGCTTTCCAATAAACAGTAGCTCTCTGCTGATTCACAGGGTTCCAGAGTAGCCTATAGGTGAGAGCTGAAGATTTTTAAAAATAAACCCCTGCTTAAACCAGGTCACTGTTCTGGTCAACACAGTACGTGCCAACTTTCCACTGTGCTTTGAAAGAAAATAGTGCTTATGCAAAAATTGCTTCTGGGTATTTCTTTAAGTGAGGAGTGATCTAATTGCTTGTTGGCCAGTACCGTCTGTAAGCAGAGTGTTTGGGAGCTTTGCTGGAACTAGCAGCACGATTGCCTTAGTGAAGTGGTAGGAAGAGAGGCTTAGTTCCTACTTAATTGGCTTTACTGGGCAAGTGTGTGTGTGGAGGGGGGGAGGGTGGAATCATACCATTATTAAAGTCACTGAGACTTCTTCCCTTAAACTGAATTCACTTTTAACCCAGTCTTCATCTGACACAGTTTAGGTGGGGGTAGGGAGGGGAGGGTGCATACGTTTTTTTTCTTAATTTGCTTTTCTTTTAGCTTTCCTAAATTACTGGAAATATACAGGATAACTTTCTCAAATCTTTTGACAATCCCACCAGGTACCTAAGTGAGACCATTTGTAAGAAGAGATGTCTCTCCCTTGCCGCAGCCCCATGAGCTGGTCTAAAAAGGAAACAGGCTGCCTTTTGGGCCCGCAGGCTCTGCTCCAGATCTGGAACAAAAGTAAAGTGAACTTCGAAACATTTGTTTCGCTGCGAAAATACATCTTAGGGACTAAAATCAGCGGAAGTCAAAGGTTCTGTTCAGGTTGGACAGGATGAGTACAGTCTGCAGGTCCCTGTTGCAGCCTCTAGACTGCAAGAAATGTGTCCAGCAAATTGTTTGTACTGGCTCTGTCACTAGAATCTGTTTTCTGTTATAGGTAGACATTGCTCCTGACTCTCAAGGGATTTGGAAACTCAAGCAGAAAGAAACTTGGGTGCGTGGTGGATGTCTCTCTCTCTAGTAAAAATTCTCTTTATCTTGCCAGTAGCATCTAGTACTAACTGTAGTTAAAAATTTGATAGGAGGAATCCTTGTCTATGCCACATCAGTGTAGTCTGCAGTCATTTCTTCGGTGATACTTTTAAAACATTTGATTGATGTTTATTTTTTATTTAAATAATTACTTGTGGGTGGGTGGGTGCTTTGTTACTAACGGGACCTAACCCAAATGCTCTTGCTGTGTGTTTGGTCATTCTGCAAGACACCATTTGATCTGTTGATGTGAACCAGGGAAAAGTATCCTGCTTCAGAAAAGTCACCTGCACAAATCCTAGCTCCTTTAGACTAAGACTAGGAAAAAAGAAAACCTTGTGAGGTATTATTTCATTCTCAGAAATTCAGTTTGGTATAGCATTAATTTTGGCAGAATTAGCAACACACATTTCTATATTTTAAAAGGAGAATGAGTGAGTTGTTTGGTGAATAAGAACATTTAAGATATACCGTTTGTAAATTAGGACTAAGATGCATCTTGTGGTGAAGGAAATAACACTTGAAAATAAGCAAAGGCAGGTCTGCACAAATGCTAAGAGTCTGTTGTCAAATTCCTACTGCGAAAATGACTACTTAAAATAATAAATCCAGTTCTGAGTTGATTTGAGATGTACACTGAGAACTTTGTGAGTCTTCCCTGAAGTGAAATGAAGATTTGAAGGAAAAGTCACTGTACCAGGGGGGTTTGTCATAGAAACTATATGGAAATGTTTATGTGAGATGGGACTGCTGGAGCCTGGGTCCCTGTTCAAGCAGTGTATCAGAGGATTAAAGCAATAGGTGGGATATATGCTAGGATATACAAATTAATTTAGATTGTAAAGGAAAATGAAATTTTTTAAATCTTCCTTCAGTTTATTTTTTCTCTTTAAGTGTCAATATAGCCATTCCAGTTTTTAGATCAGTTGCTTGACTCATTTTATTCTATATGGGCGATGTATTTCTGAATGTATGTCAGCCCTGGAATCCAGAGTAAATACACGTGTGCTGTGGGTGAGAATTTTTCTTGCAACTTATTTGTGCATCTAAGTCCTGTGCTTGCCGGTGCTCCTCTCCAAGGGCAGAAAAAGTGAAAATGGCTGGAAATCTTCAGTGTTACTTCTTACTCTTCATGGAAGAAAACTGAAATGTGTCTGGGGTCCAAATTCATAACTGCCGGAGTTCTTGGGAGGTGACACAAAGTCATCCTGGGAGCTGTGCTGCCTCACAGTCCAGGTGAAACTGCCTGTGCTTGCACAGTGACACCCCCATTCTGGAGACCAGGCCAAGAAAAAAGTCAGTTTATAATGTTTCTGTTGAACTTCTTAGGGTAAGTCATAGGGTTTTGATTGACATCAGTTACTGATCTTTCTCCTGGGAATACATTTTGATGGGAGAAAGACAACTGCTTTCTGCATTTTTGTCTCTGCTTTGTGACCACTTTTGGTTCATCCAAAGGCCAAGCAATCTGTTTGCAGAGAATTCCCAGGTGGATCAGGCACCAAGCTGGAAGCATTTCCTTCAGCGACAATGGGTGGAACAGCTGTCCCCTTGAGTTTCTTCACATCTCATTCTTTGTGTGAATGATAGATCCATCCCTTTTCCTGAAAGTATTATCATCTAAAATAGTTTGTATGCTTGCACTGTACAAACTGTTGATTTTTATGAAAGGCCTGTGATGTGGTCATTGATCAGGTACCTAATGAAACACAGCATCAGTGGCTGTTGTGAATCATGTGAGTACCGGGACTTGCTCTCTGTCCCCGTTCTGCTACTTCCGTTCTCAGTTCATCCAGGCTTTGGGTTCAATATTCTTTCCAAAGAACTTATTAACCACAAGATCAAAAACCACCTTCTGTCTTGTCACACGTGCGTGTTGCTAGTTTTAATGCCTTTTCCCACAGTTTGATGCTGTTTCTACTCCCAGAAGAAGAGGTTGCAAGAATGTACAAATGGCAACTGAAGACGTGTTCAGGCGTAATTACCTTACTCAATGGCTGTGTCACCATCTCGTTTGAGAAGGCTGGGATGCACCTACTTCTCTTATAAAAACATAGCTCTGAGCTTTGGATACAAAAATAATTTCCACAGCTATCTGATTGCAGTTCAGATTTGTGAGGCAGCGTGCTTGGTGTGGCACAGGAGAAAGGCCTTTTGGCCACAGTACAGAAACATTACATGAGTCTGAGTGAGTTTGTTATAAGAGAATTTGAGCACTGCCCAAGCTTTGATTTATCAGAGCCAGGAATTTTGGTTTTTTCACTACTAGAAAAAAAGGCTGAAATAATTGTGATTTTTGTTTGTGTGAGAAAACTGCGTCCCTGGGGTGTGAAACTCCTCTCCTTTGCTGAAACCATGCAATTGTGTGTGAATTTGAGAGAGAGAGGGAGAGAATCGGCCTGTACAGGAAGGTGTACGCAAGACTGCATGGATTTTTTTTTTTTTTCTTCTTTTTCAAGTAGAATTTCATGTCGCTCATAGGAAATGGTCTCTTGAAAAATGCCTTCAACCTCCTGGAGTTGTGGGCGATGAGGAATGTAGTAGTCAGCTTCCTCTGAAGGTACAGCTTTGAGTCATAGCTGTTTTCTTTCCCCTCTAAATGGAGTGCGGAGCAGAGTTACAGAGAGCAGTCTCTAGGCTATCCAGGCAGAGCTGTTTCTTCCTAAAACAGCCTCAGCTGTTGTGACCTGGGCAAAACGGGATTAAAACAAGTATCATGTGTTGACTAGGTGTGGGTTTGGTTTCTTTGGGGGTGATATTTTTTTTTCTGATTGTTAGTTCCCGTAGATTTTTCTGTTTGCAAGAATAGTTGTAGGTTTTTCTGCCTGCACTGATACAGTCCTCAGGATTGCAAGCTCTACACTCTCCCACTTGGTTCACCAGGGTTTTCCTTCCATTCTTATCAAACATAATTGCTGATCTGTACTGTTATCATGCAGGCATCAGTGTAATAGCTAAATCCAGTGTCATCTTTTGCTGAATGAAGTATCACTTCAAAGAAACCAAAAGGGTCTGCTCAGCTTCTGGTTTGGATTGACTCATTTTGCCCACAGTATTTTTCTGCTTTGTTCACTTGGTGTTTTGCGTGTGGGTGTGTACATGGCAAGAAGGTGTTGAATGCTGAGCTGTTAAGCAGCTGATAGAAGTAGCTGCGTTTTGTCAGCATTTCCGTGTAAAATACTGTCTTATGGGCACTGCGTTGGATGATTGTTTTGTTTGTTTGTTTGTTTTAAAGGCACTGTGAGGCTCTTTTGGGTGAAGGATAACAATGATTTCAGTATTCCAGCTAAAGTTGTGTTTGTTCTAGTATTTGCTTAGTTTAAAAACTGAATAAAATGGGATAAT